TGGGCACAAGAAGAGGCAAAGATGATCTGAGAGGAATTTAGGGGCTGGTAGGATCATCAGGGTTTAGTGACAAGTTGTAAGTTGGGAAATAAACATGGAGAAGATGGAGGAGTTGAGAATGGTTTCCAGGTCTCAAAAGAAGTAGGATCTGACATTCACTGAAGCAGACAGAAGGCAGAGCAAACAATAGGAAAAGTCATGCATTCCATTATGAGATTTGTCCCACTGGCACCCTAACCTTACAAGTAAGGAGCTATTGGTTGGTATTAGCCATGTCTGCAGCTTGAGTGATACGAGGATCATTTGTTGGATCGCACTTTGTGATGGTGTCAGAATTGGGAGCATGTGCAAAGTGGATGCTCGTCAGCACAGAATCCCAAAGGGGAGCACGGAAGAGAAAAGCAGCCTTCTTATGATGATGGTAGGCCTTCCTTTCCTATACTTCGGATCAGAGGAGGACTGTTGCTTACTCCTGCTTTCAGATCATTACTTTTTCCTTCCTCATGCAAACTCTCTCTTGTCTTCTGGAGTGTATTCCTTTCGGTCATACCACATCTTATACGTTCGGTTTTTTAGTGTGTATCCATCTCCTGGTTCCTCTCACACAGGCATCCATAGCTCAGGAAATCTGGGAGCTAGATGCCTGTCTAATCTTCTTTAGCTTCAAGAGAATTCAATGTCTATAGATAGTCCTTACTTTCTTCAACGAATCTTTATTCAGCTCTAATTATAGGACAGGCTCCATATTAGGCACTGGATTCAGAGGCATACAAAACTGAGTGTCTGCTCTGGTGGTACATACTTTCTATTTTGGGGAGACAAATATGTATCTGGTGCCATGTACTAAAAAGAAAACTAGAGCAAGATAAAAGGGTAAGAATGACAAATAGGCGGGGGTGCGGTGGGGGGGACTTCTTTCGGAAAAATGATATAACGGAGACCCACATGAAGCAAGAGTAAACTGTGTGGGTATATGAATGTATTATGTATTGCTGTATAACAAATTATCCCAGAATTTAGCAACTTAAAATGATAAATATGTACTTGTCATCTCACAGTACCTCAGCATTAGGAACCAGGGAGTAGCTTTTAGCTGATGTTTCTGTTTCGGGTCTCACATCAAATTGCAATCCTAATCTCAGGAGGGCCACATCGTCATTATTTTGTCATCCATACCTTAAACTACCTCTCTTTCCTGACTTGTCTCCCTCCTTGCCTAAATGCAGTTTCCCAGTCCAGCTTCTTGCTTCTCTCTCATTCCCTTTTTTTATTCCTGCTTCCTAAAAGAAAAGATGTTTGCTGTCTTAATTTTGGCAACTTGTCCTCTTTCGTCTCCTGTAGATGGGCTCCCACTCTCTTCCACACCAGGAAGTCTCTGTCAAAGGTGACCTCTGGTGATAAAGACCAGTCTGTTCTTAATTTAGTTGATTTCTCTTGTGGCATTTGATTCTCTTTCTCTTGAGATGCTCTCCCCTCTTGATCGCTATTATGGTATTTTGCCTTCTACTTCTCTGACACTACCAGCCTCTCTTGGATCAAGCTCTTCTGCCAGTTGTTTAAATGTTGGTATTTCTTAGAGTCTTGTTCTTGACTCTGTTTTTAGTTTACTTTGTCTTCAAAGCTGACCCCTACCAAAACTAAGCTAATAATCCCTGATCCCCCCCGCCCCCCCCCACAAATATGTTGTTCATCTGTATTCTTCTTTGGTTAATGGAATCTAGGCACCCCAGTTTAAAAAAAAATCATCAAAATTTTCCTGCCTTTCTACATTCTGTAAATAACCAACATATGTTAATTCTGTCTTCTCTAACTCCCTCTTGCCTCTCCCTAGTTCTCTAGCCCATGACCTTTGCCCTAGGTCCTTCCTATTTTTACCTGGTCTGCTGTACTTGTTGGATAACTCATATCCCAATCTCTGTTCTGGTTTATTTTCATCTACCCTTGATGCTGCCACCAGTTTTTTTGTGTAACTCTTGTTTCTCAGCATGTTAATACCTGGGTTGCCCAGGCATCACTGACTCTCAGTTATCAGAGAGAGCTCAGATCCCTTGCTTGGCACACAGTGCATTTTGCCATCTGGTCTCTGTTGGTCTGCTTGGCACAACTTTTGCTCCCCTCACCCTTAAATTTAATGCTCCTGCAGGATGGAAGTTCTTACATTGCCCTCAAAAGGCCATGCTGTTAATGCCTCTGTGCTTTTTATTTCTGTTGTTTTCCTGAAATATGTTTTCTCCCTTTTCCCCTTCAACCCACAGGTCATTCAAATCACAGGTCCCTGTCTTTGTTTTGTGCCCCATTTATCCTCAACCTTGTTCCTAGACAATGGAGTTCATAACTTACTTTTCTTTACTCCCCTTCAATAGGCTGCCATTCTTGTTCTTACTGTATTATTTATCCTGTCTCTCTCTGGTTGTGTGAGCTTTGAGGGCAGGGTCTCTGGCCCATTCACTCTTCTGTCCCCTCAATACTTAGCAAAAGGCCTGACACAAGGTTACTTAGTAAGTATCCATAAATAACATGTAATTTGACTGAGTTAGTATGGTTTTAGGTAGGGTTTTATAGGAGAGTTAACACTCCAAAGACTTATTATTAAACTTTCTTCAAAAAACATTGTTGGGTTACTTGGTAGAATTGAGGACTGAGTTAGGCAGAAGTTGAGAAAAAATAAAAATCCCTGCCAACTTAAAAGTATTAGATACCAAGTAATTAAAAAGCTTTTTCTGAAGCCAACATTAAGGTATTTATATTGCACATTAAACATATCTTGCTGTTCCAGCTTTGTACGCAATTACCAAATTTTTAAAAGTTGTTTATCTCAACTCTAAATACTCTCCCATAGAAAGAATGTTACTTATATTTCTGTATCGGGGTGCAGTCTGGAGACAGAAACCACACAACTGAGTAGGGAAAATTTAATCAGTGAGAGATTGGTTGCAATGGGTAAGGAAAACTGGAGAATATAGGAGTAGTAGATATAGGGAGCACAGCATCCAGGGAAGGAACAAATCTGGAAGATGTGGGGCTCCCCACATCTCAAAGCCTGGGATCCAGACCTCATTGGAGAAGATGTGGCATGTCCTACTGCATGGCAGAGAGTTTGACTGAAGTGCCACGCTAATGGGACACCTGGGGAGTCTGCCTTCTGAGGTGCGGCCCTGTAGAACTCACTGGGGATCTGCCAGTGGGGGTGGTGCCCTAGGAAGCCACCCTCAGGCTGGGATAAGCTGCCCACGTGTTCGTGCCACATGCCTGCAGGTGTGAGAAGGGAGGCCTTCTTCCCCCTTTCTTCCTCCCCCCAACACTTTGTGAAGTTGCACTAACTGACACAGGCAGGGTACTGGGAGGGCAGCACAGAAGAGTAATAAATTGACGTCTTTGATTCCTGAGCTTCCATATGTTCCCATTTAACAATATAAAAGTCTCATAGGAATTAGGAAAAAATACGTGTATATATAATTTATCTTGAATTCTAGTACCCAGTGAGAGTTGTGCAATGAAATGAGGGTGGCAAAGGAGATGAAATCACCCTTAATGTGTCCCAAGTAGGGTTAATGGTATTCTTGGACAAAGTACATTATGGAATATGTTTTCGTTCATCTGCATAAAGTAAAGGCATTATTCTTACACCTGTCTCTTAAGAATTAGTTTCAGCTTAGAAACAGAAAATAAGTCTTTTCTATACTGACTGAGGCACAGCTGATAGACAGGAAATGTGTGTATGTGTTAAATGTTTGCCCAGTGTAGAATTTACAACCCCTATTTCAGTACATTAGCCAAAATGTTCGAGAGTCAGGAATCCTCTGGCCATTGAGCAAAGATAGGAAACAACATTTTGGGTGAATGACTCTAAAAGGGGAGACATCAAATATTGGGGAAAAGTTTGGAGTCAGGTGACGGTCACTGGGACCAGTGAGGCCACTTTATACGGAACATGTGTGCTGCTTACCCACACGCCAGACAGACATGATGATAGTCCAGTCCAAGTAGTGGGGTCCTAACTCAGTACCATTATTCCAAGTCAGTTTTTAGGGTAAAAGTTGACATGGATTTTTGTTTCATAAGCTTAACAGCTCTAACTCATGGGGACTGCACTGAATAATCCTACAGGCTCTTCTAGGAGAATTTTTTGTTGTCATAGGAAAAATAGGAATAAAAGCAGTGTTACCTGCTTTGAAGAGGATTCTTAGGACTGTTGATGACGGAATAGATATTTAATGAATCTTGACTGATATTTATTGATATTTGGGTCTGTAACTTAGAAGAAAGGAGAGTTCTAAGGCCAACTCTGATATTTTGCACAGTAAGACCTTATTATTACTCATCTCTTCCTGTCAATTTCATGAACCTCTCTCTCTCTCTCTCTCTATCTGTGGTTGTCTTTGTATGTTATTGCCTGGTACTAGGGAACATCTAGATATTTCTTACAGATTTTGCTTTTCTGTCATCCATTCTTACCGGCTCTGAGACATGTGCAAGAAGTTGGGGGACTGGTGAAGTCTGGGATGGGGGGAACGGTTGCACCCTAATCCCCCAGCTATGGAGCAGCTTTGATTAAGTTATACATGCTGGGTACTGACTTGGATACCAGCTATTGACCTTCAGATCCTCATTCAAATAATTGAGAACCCCCTCCCTGCTGAAAAACTAGCCAGAACTCTAAAGTACAGATAAAGAAGTTGAGTTTACATCTCCAGTTAACTTCTTAACTCTGAAAGGATTCAGTTGCAGAGATGCCCATGACCTTCAGGTGGGGGTGCATGTAGTTCAGGTTGGCTCATCATATGATTTCTTAGCTTTCATTACTGCCTCTTGTAAACATTTCATCATTTTAGAAGATTGGGGTCCTTCTTTATGTCATTATTTACCATATGTTATAAAACATTTTAAATCATTGTGGAATACTTGGTGTCATAATTCTGGCTGGATTGTTAAAAGCAAGGACTGTTAGTGTTCCTGCCTAATTGTAAATGGGTTTTTTGTCTGTTTTTTGTGTCTCCTAGGTTTTTCTGAAGAGTGATCGAGTGGCCAGAATGGTTCAGAGTGGAGGGTGTTCTGCTAATGACTTCAGAGAGGTGTTTAAGAAAAACATAGAAAAACGTGTGCGGAGTCTGCCAGAAATTGATGGCTTGAGCAAAGAGACGGTGCTTAGTTCATGGATAGCTAAATATGATGCCATTTACAGAGGTGAAGAGGATATGTGCAAACAGTCCAATAGAATGGTCCTAAGTGCTGTGTCTGAACTTATTCTGAGCAAGGAGCAACTCTATGAGATGTTTCAGCAGATTCTGGGTATTAAAAAACTAGAACACCAACTCCTTTATAATGCATGTCAGGTAAGTGGTCCATATTTCCCATTCCCCCACCTGGCTCAGAATGAACATCAAATATTTACAAGCCTATGAAAATGTACATTTTATAATCACTTTGCCTGCAAAGTTGAGTGAAAATGAATTTTAATAAATTGAGTAGTGGTATTTGAAAGAAACTTTGAAAGAGTTATTTGATGGAGGGAGAAGAGTATCAGTACATTCTATCCTGTAAGTAATTGTTCCCATGTGCCTTATGTTAGGACATCAGATTTTCACCTATTGGGTACATAAGGGGAATACCCCAAATAATAAAATGAAAATCAGCTGTTATCTAAAAAAGCTGGGCAATTTATAATAAGGAGGTATTCTTGAGTGCAAAATAATTTTTTTCATAGTTATGCTGGTCTTCTGAGTTCTATGAAATTGAAACTTCCAGAATTTCTTTAACCCAGCCGGATAGAAATGAATGAAGATGTTGCTGAATTATGTAATTTAGAGATGACCAAATAAAAAATACTTTTTCTCTTCAGTTGTTATTCGATTCATACATAGGACAAATTGAATAAAATGTCATGTTCCACATCTTTCATCTTTGGGCCCTATGATTTGTCTAATAATGTATCCATTTCATGTTTGCATTTTGTTTATGTTAGTGGTATAAATTATTTAACTATGCCCTAATATACAATTTAAATAGACAAAATTCAGGCATTTTGAAATTTGTGCATTAGAGTTACACTTCTATAATGTACATACATTTACCTTTATTTTTAATCTTTTCACAAATCTCTTAATTTCTGCTTTCTATGTGTATCATTTGCTTTGCATTACTAACTTGTGAATCACTTCAAATGAATAAATTGACAGGTAATAGTAAAGCAATGTAGCATCTTAACCCTGTGAACAATTCATGCATTCATCATAATTGTTTTCATTATTATTAAACCAGGTAGCTATTTGATAATAGTGGCAGATGATTATAAAACCACAATCTTCTGTTTTAAAAGATTAATACAACTGGGACTTTGTATTTTTAATGAAACAGTAACTCACTTGTACAGCTAAATATTGATGAACATGACTTGTTAAATTCAGATTCACACATTTGGCAGATATTTATTGAGTATTTATTCAAGTTTTTGACTTGCTGGGTGTTGGGGAAACCAAGCTGAGCAAATGAAGATATTTGTTCTCCATATCTCGATATGCTGAAGCCTAGTAGAGCAGATGGATCTCTAAAATGAGTTATAACAACTGCATTGAAACTTATACTGGGTGTTACAGGGTCATAACATCCACTGAAGTCGGGTTTTTTTTTAATAAGTGCAGCAGTGTTATGTCTTTTTATGTAATTAACTCCTTTATCATTGTATAAAATCCCTCTTTATCCCTGATAATTATTTTTTTTTTCTGAAGTCTGCTTTGTCTTAAACTAATACGGCTACTCCAGCTTTCTTTTGATTAGTTAGCCTGTTGTCTTTCTCTGTTTACTGTTAACCTATCTGATTCCTTGTGTTTAAAGTGGGTTTCTAGTGCACAGCATTGAATTGCCTCTTGGTTTTTTTTTTGTTTGTTTGTTTTTTTCTTTTTAATCCAGTCAGACATCTCTGTCTTTTAATGGCTATGTTTAGACTATTTATATTTAAAGTGATATAGTTGGCTGAAGTTCTACAGTCTTAGTTAAGGGTTGTCACTTCCTTGGATTTGTCATTTGTCCCTTGTCCCCTTCCCCACCCATTTCTGCCTTCTCTCATTTGAATTGAGCATTTTATGTGATTCAATTTTATGTGATTTTCCTTTGATGTACTACCTGTTTTTGGGGGTTTTTTTTTTTTTTTTTAACTTGGTTAGTAGTTTAGTGGTGGCTCTAGGGTTTACAGACTACATTTTAAAATATTCAAGTCCATATTCAAATAACATTATAAGTCTTCAAGTGTAGTACAGCTGTCCTAGAATAGAGAATTCCCAATTCCTCCCTCCCATCCCTTGTGACATATGTCATTTATTTCACTGATACTTCTGTCCTTCATTACCGTGATGTTTTTATCATCTAGTGCATTGTTACTATTATTGCTTTAAATGGTTAATTTTTAGATATTGAGAATAAGAAAACAAGAAAAATAAAAATTTTAGTATTTTACCTTCATTCCTTCTCCTGATACTCTTTGTGTAGACCCAAGTTTCTGACTGGTGTCATTTTCCTTATTTTTCTGAAAAGCTTCTTTAAATACCTCTTGCAAGGCAGGACGACTGGTGATGAGGTTCTCAGTTTTTGTTTGTCTGTTTTTCCTTCATGTATAAAGGATAATTTCACTGAATATAGGATCCTCAGTTAGCCTTTTTTTCTCTTTCAACACTCTGAAGGTTTCAATTCATGCTTTTCTTGCTTGCATGCTTTCTGATGAGAAGTCTGAAGCTCCTGTGTTCTGACTTCAGTATTTTCTCCTTGTCTTAGTTTCCTGAGTTTGAGTATGATATGCCTAGGGATAGGCTTTATGATTCTCTTGCTTGGCATTCTCTGAACTTTCTGTTTCTGTGGGTTGGTGTCTGTCGTTCAGTTTGCGGAAAATTCTCGGCCGTGATTACTTCAGATTTTCCTTCTGTCCCATTCTCACCTCCTCCTTGTAGTCCAGTTATATTTGTGTCACCCATATTTGATATTGTCCCGCAGTTATGGAATGTTTGTTTTTGTTTTTTTTCTCCTTGCATTTGAGATTGGGAAGTGTATGTTGACCTTTCTTCAAGTTCACTGACTCTTCCTCAAAATCCTCAGGTCTGCTGATGAGCCCATCAAAGGCTGTGTTCGTTTGTGCTAGTGTTACTAACCTCTAGCATTTCTCTTTGAGTCTTTCTTGGAGTTCCCATCTACTTATTTACATTACCCATCTGTTCTTGCATGTTTTTAACTTTTTCCATTAGAGCCCTTAATTTATTAATCTAAGTTAAACTCCTTTTTTTTTTTTTTTAATAACTATAACATCTCTGTCACCACTAAATCCCATTGGGATGCTTGCTTTGTCTCTCCAGTCTGTTTCTTTTTCTCTTTTGGCATGTTTTGTAAGTTTTTTTTTTTGAAAGCCAGGCCTGTTGTATCAGATTATAAGAACTGAGGTATATTTGCCTTTAGTGTGAGGATTTACATTAATCTGACTGGAAGGTAGGCTGTGTTTAATGTTTATTGTAATGTTTGTAGGTACAAGAAGCTTCAAATTCTCCTAATGTCCTTTTGACTTGAGGCTTTCCTGAGTATTCATCTTCAGAAAGAGTCTTACAGCCCCTCCGCTGTTACCCTGGAGCTGTGTTGGTGCTGTGGTAGAGTGCTGGGGAGTAGGGACTGTTCTACAGTCTGACTGCATCTTGGATTTTTAGTAGGCCTAGGTCTCGGGGCTGTAGCCTTCACAAGTGTTTCTGTCCCTTGTCTAGGAGTATGGCTTCCCTTCCCACCATATGCCTTATTCCCTTCCTCGCTTAAAGGATATCCAGTCTGTTTCCTTGAAGTTGTGCCTCCTCTTCACTCAGGTGTAGAAGAGATCAGAAGGCTGCAAAAGACTGCAGAGGGTAGCCTTTTCTCTCTGCAGCAGGGACAATTATTCAGTGTTTCCTTTTGGCAAAATCCACCCCCCTTTGTTAGGTAGAAGAATATGGGAGGTTTAACAGTGGCTTTTCTTCCCTTCTTCCTGCCAAGTCCACATGGGCATCTTTCTTGGATCCCTACAATGAGAACTTGGTGGGATTACTATAGACGCCCCCTTCTGATGACAGCACCAGGAGTTTCTCACTCTTTGCACTAAGCTTCTAGTAATTTGTCCAAATTGCTTGTCAAGTAAGTAGTCCTACTCTTCATGGCCTCCACTGACTTCTGTTTCCAATATTACACCTCTCTGGTTTTGATTGTGTCTCCAGGTGTTGGGTTAGTGGTTTGCCCTGCAACCTTAGTTCTCTGACAAGTCCAAGAAAAGTCATTGATTTTCAGGCTGTTTAGCTCTTTATTTTAAGAATGGGAGTGATGACTTCGAATCTCTTTACAGGTCTGAGCTCAAACTGCAATTCCTTTGGTTCTGAGATTTGAAAAGCCCTTAAGGGTTATTTCTTTGATAGACTTGAGAAAAATTACAAAAAATACTTGTATAAATAAAGGAAGAGCTTTACTTTGGAGTAACAATCATTTTATGAAATCAATGAAATAATGAAAATGGACGAAAACAGCTGAGATTCTTTTTTCTTTCTCAAGGGCATATGTATCTTATTTGTTCTTCCATTGTATTTCAACAGAGGTCTAAAAAGAAAAGGTGATAGAAAACACACATAGTAGACTGCCCTTTACAGGAAAGGAATAGTCGGAGAAGAGGAATAGTGGAGCAGGGGTTGGGGGAGTGGAGAAAGGACCTTAAAGCTAGCTGAGCTGTTGGAACCTGGCTCCAGGTACAGGTTGGTGAAATTTATTCCACTTTCCTGACATCTCAGGAAAGGCTTGGAGACTTACTAACTGTAACTCTTCTGTATTTGTTCACCCTTAGCTGGTCCCTTGTTTTTTGCTGGTAGGGTCCCCCTAGGAAATCTCTCAGATATCTGCTTGCTTCAGGGTCAGAAGCTCTGCATCCAGAGCTGTTCTGCTAAGATGTGCAGGATGGCAACAGCCAGACAGTCCCTGGTACTTGAGAAAGGAAAAACCGGAATGTGAAGGGAACGGCACCAGAGCCGCAGCCTGATGCCACCCGAGCTTCGTGTGGTCGCAGTCTCATCCCAGAGCTGTAGGATCAGCATCAGGAATGGAAAAACGGAAAAGCAGAGGTGGTTACATTATGTTTGATTAGAGCCAGGAACTTAGTAATTATCAAAGTTAAGGCATGAAAGTAAAACCTGAATGTAGAGGATATCACAAATTATAAAACTAGGGATAATTGAAAGAAAAATTATTACGTTTCCAAAAAATTAAGAACGATCCAGATATTTCGTAGATTAGCTTTTGTGCTAGTAAAACCACCTGCCACACTTTGGATTCTTTGGTTTGAGAGAAATGTGTT